CCCATACAAATGTAGCTACACACATCCAACTTTCATACATATAGGCAACACTCACACACACACACACACACACACACACACAAATGGAAGAAGTAAATAAGTAAATACATACATAAACAAAAGCAAAACAAAAAAAAATCAAATGTTATTCTGGCTTGTGTGTTCTATTGGTTAGTCAGTCTGATTGCTTGAGCAACCTTTGGAACACTCAAAAAGTCAGCAATTTACCTTCCGCTTTAGGTAAAATTTGCAAATGTCTGTAATCCCCCAGACTCTGCAGAAGTGTCTTTGGGTCATTTAGAAAACAGTCAACCAATGCCTGCTGCCCACAGCCCCCTCCATCTTCAGAAGAGAACAGAACAGAAAGCTACTGAAGATGTGGTAGAAGGGAGCCTGTCAAAAGAATGGGCTGCCTCATTCCTGGAGGGCATGGCTGCGTAACTGGGGAGAGGCAATGGAAGAGGCTGGTCCCAGGGGCAAAACTAACCAGTCATGGCATGAGCAGACATAAAGCAGCATAAGGTGGAATGCGGGGGGGGGGGGGAGAAGGGGCAGCATACTACTTAAAGTACCCCTGCTCCGCGGGAAAAGCCTGCAAGCATCAAGCCTCCCGCCAATGAGAAAGGAAATGTCTGTAGTCAGACACTAGATAGATTTGAGGCTCCCTTGCTGCAACCAGTAAAAGCGCTTCAGTTAACGACCCTCAAAGGGGGCCGGGGCGGGGCAGGGGGGTCACCATTCTTTATGGTGGCGTGCTCTCTGAAAAGGTTGCCCCGAGTTCAGTTGATTTCCCTTCAGAAATGGCTGTGATTACATTTATTCCAGGAGTGTGTCATGCTTGGTTTCTACCTATGCTGTTTCCCCCTCTTTGGGGACAGCTATTGATCGTTGATACTGGAAGCACAAGGCATAGCTTCGTTAAGCTTGAATTTGAAAGGCACGGGGAAGGTTCCAGTGACTATAGAATGCTATATCCTAAGGGCATTCTGTTATTCAGTGTGCTGCCGCCTGTGGGAAGCATGAACTCTGGCTACCCAGGTGTGGGAGGCATGGTGCTAATCTCATTAGTACATAGCGTTTTCACCTGGTATTTTTAAGAGTCCTGTCTTCTATGCATCCAGCTGGAGCAGGCTCAGGTGTGTCAAGACACGTGCATGAGAATAGCCTGTTTGCTTGAGGGAGAGGCGTTTGATGGGTTCACGGTGCCTCCCTTCTAAGAAGCTGCAGTAGTAACACCTGTCTTTGAAGATGTGAGCTGGCTCACAGGTGCACCCATGAAATATTACATTAGAAAGAAAGAAAAGAAAGAAAGAAAAGAAAGAAAAGGAAGAAAGAAAAAAAGAAAGGAAGGAAGGAAGGAAGGAAGGAAGGAAGGAAGGAAGGAAAGAAGAAAAAGAAAGAACCTGTTTGGGGCTGAAGGGATGGCTCAGAGCTAAGATTTCTTGCTGCTTTTTCAGAGGACCCAAGTTTAGTTCCCAACACCTTCATCAGAAGGCTCGAAACCATCTGTAAGTCCAGCTCCTGGAGATAGTAAGGGGATGGGGAGAGGAGGCAGGGGAGAGAGGGGGAGGGAGGGAAGAGGGAGAGGGAAGGAGGGGAGGAAAGGAGGAAGAGAAGGAGGGGGAGAGAGAGAGGAGGGGAGAGAGAGAGGGGAGGGGAGAGAGAGAGGGGTGGAGGAGAATACAATTTAACACGTGCCCTGTTACTGTTGCTGTGGCCACTTGGCCATCAGACCTAAGAAGCCCACTCTCTCCACTGTGCTGCCAGGGACGCAGAAGCGTCCTCCTACCCAGCGGCTCTGGCACTCTGGCCTTGTCATTGCCATTTGCCGAGGTTGTCCCCTTCTCCGGCTTCACTGCAACACAGAGCCAGTGGCGCCGGTGTGTCCCACCACACCTTGGGTTTCTGTCCCCACGCTGTGTCCACCACTCTCTCTGCCCATCCCTCCCACACCACAAATGGCTTAGAGTAAGCCAGCGTGGAAACGGTGCCCTGGCCCCAGGATGAAAACAACAGACCCACCCAGCGACTGTTTGGCGGGGTGCTATTTTCCAACACTGGGGCCTCTCTCCCGTTGTCATCCCCTTGAGAACGTCTGGCTGGGGTTTGCAGAGGGTTTTTCACTCTGTGATGTTATTCTCTCCTCTGCTGAACGTCATCTAATCCCACATGGCCTTTATCATATTCTATTTTAAAATGCCGGCTATGTGGAGACAATGGCATGCTATAAGATTTACCCCTCAAGGCACCGAAAAGTGATTCCCCCCCCAATATACAAGGAGTTGAGCAGGCATCACCAAATCAGCTGTAGTTGTTCATCGTTCCTCAAAGAAATGTGACTCATTCACAGTCACTCCCTGCTTCCCGCCCATCCGTCCCTGGCAACCGCTGAGCTATTACTCTGTGTATTTGCCTAATCTGGACATTTCAGATGAATGGAATAGATATTTTGTGATTGGCTTCTTTCATTAGCACAATGTCTCCAAGGTCCATCATGCGGTGGGGGTAGGGGTGACAATATTACTATTTCTTTCGTGTGCCAAACACTGTTTCATTGTGTGGACATGCTTTGTGGCGCTTCCGTCCACAGGGCACTTAAATTCTTTCCATAAACAATGATGCCATAAACTGCCATGTGCAGGTTTTTGTGTGGCTGCCTGACATTCTTTTTCATGGGTTTATACCACTTGATAGACCTACTTGGTAACTCTCGATTTTTCTTTTCCAGGGGGACCGCCAAACTCTTTAGCAGAGTGATTATGTCACTTCACAGACCCACCTCTGGGCTTTTGTGAATTATTTCTGTGGAATTATTTCTGCGTGAGCTGTCTTTCTTCTCTTGGATTCTTGAGGACATTGTTAATGACGATCACAGGGCCTTACACACGGCACACTTTGAATAAACTGCAGCTCTTAGTTGGATGTACACTTTATGAGAAAGTTTCGCGTCCTGACTTGTTGGTGTGCCTACTTGAGGAGAAAGCGTGGTCCTGACTCCAACATCCCTCTAAGAACCTAAGGCCACTAGCAGAGGGTACCATTTACTGGGCATGTACGGGATCCCTTCCCATGTGACCTCATTTAACTAGAAAGGGAACCAGGGTCTAGATTACTCTCCAAGTAATTAACAGAAAGACGAAACACACTCTCAGGTTTTCACTCTGCCATGCGGTCCTTGCATAGTGCTCACTTGAGGTCTCCTGTCCCCTGCCCCCACAACAAATTTCCCCAAGCCTGCAGTGGTTCCCAGCCTTCCTAATGCTGTGACCCTTTAACACAGTTCCTCATGCTGTGGGGACCCCCATCCATAAAATTATTTCATTGCTACTTCATAACTGTAATGTTGCTGCTGTTATGAGTCACGTCTGATATGTAGGATATCTGCTATGTGACCCCTGTGAAATGGTCGTCCAACCCCCACGTTGAGGACCACTGTCCTACTGTATACAGCGGCTTGATGAGTAGTGTACCCCATCCTCCGTGGGCTCAGGCATTTGATTAGTTGGTCCCCAGGTTGGTGGCAGGGTTGGGGAGGTTTGGGAGGTCTGGAGGAAATGCCCCGTTGGAGATGGGCATTTGTAGAGGAGTCTCACCCTATTTCTAGTTCACTGCCCCTGCTTTAGGTTGGCTTTGTGGCAGAGCTGTCATTTCCCAGTTTCCAGCTCCTGCTGCCATGCCTGTTACTTATAGCTGTGATCTTACCACCAAAGTGGACTCTTATCCCTCTGTAACCCTATTTCAGACTCTAATAAGTTGCCTTGGCCATGGTATTTTATCATAGTAGCAGAAAAGGAACTGATATGCATGGTATTTTATTTTATATATATATTTTTCGAGACAGGGTTTCACTATGTAGTCCCGGCCGTCCTGGAACTCACTCTGTAGACCAGGCTGGCCTGGAACGCACAGAGATCCGCTTGCTTCTGCCTCCCGAGTGCTGGGATTAAAGGCATGTGCCACCACTGCCCAGCCCAGCTTTATGGACGGTAATAATAACAACAACAACAACAACACCAAAGCGGAAAGTGAAGTATTTAGAGGGAAGAAAAGAGGCTGGCACGTTGGGGGAAAGGGCTCAAGGGAGGGGCGTGGGAGACAGCCGTGAGAAGAACCCGAGGGTATCTGTCTATGCATACACATACACACACACACACATACACACACACATACACACACACACATACACACACACACATACATACATACACACACACACACATACACACATACACACACACATACACACACACATACACACACACACACACACATACATACATACACACACACATACATACACACACACATACATACATACACACACACATACACACACACACATACATACACACACATACACACACACACACACACACACACATATGAAAATATACTACTGAAACCCATTATTTTGTGTGCTAAAAATTATCTGAGAGCTGGACTAATAAGCTGAAATACAAACGCAAGGCGTGTTTCCATGGTGTCATTCAACCCTCCGAAGGCTGCCCGTGGCCACTGAGAAGTGCCTCCCTCCAGCTGATTTCGTCCAAGTCCCCTGAAGCTGCCAGGCATGTTTCCGAACGCCGCCCGCCCGCCGCGATCACGCATCCCCGGGCTGGTGTCCTTCAACAGGCACCGCCAGCTGTCAGAGCAGCAGGGCTGGCGCCAGGCCTCTGCCCCTAACAAACATGGCCGCCCCGAGGCGTCACGCTTAGGGCGGCGGGCCGGGCCTCACGTGACAAAACCCTGCCGCGCTATTGGCCGCGCCTGTGGGCAGGGCGGGACTTAGTGGCCCGCGCGAGCCGTCCTTAAAGGGACCGCCCTCGTGTCCCTCGGGATCCGCGCTCCGAGGCCGGCGGCGCGCGCGCGCGGGGCGGGGGCGGGGGCGGGCGCTGGAAGCCGGCGTCCCGGAGCCGCGGTGACCCCGCCGGGGTGAAGCGGGAGCCGGCGGCGCGGCGCGGAGCCCAGCGGAGCCCAGCGGAGCCCAGCGGAGCCCAGCGGAGCGCGCGCCGGGCATGGAGGACGGCGTGGCGGGGCCGCGGCTCGGGGAGGCGGCGGAGGCGGCCGCGGCGCGGGCGCCCCCCGGGGTGACTCTGAGGCCCTTCGCGCCCTTCTCCGCGGCCGCCGGGGCGGACGAGGGCGGCGGCGACTGGAGCTTCATCGACTGCGAGATGGAGGAGGTGGATCTGCAGGACCTGCCCAGCGCCACCATCGCCTGCCACCTGGACCCGCGCGTGTTCGTGGACGGCCTGTGCCGGGTAGGGCCGTGCGGCCGTCGGGGCGGGGGGAGGGCGGACACTTGTTGCCGGGCGCGGCCGGGGCGGGCTTCCTCCTGCACCGCCTACGCGGTCCGGGTCGTGATCCAGTGGGGTCGCCCAGGGTTTGGGATCAATTCCTCCTCCCCACTGCCGCGGTTTGCTCTCACCTGCTCCCCTCTCCTTCCCGGAGTGTCAGAATTGTGTGCATCAGGGAGGGGAAGGGACACCTAACTCCCAGTGTACTGAGTGCCCCGAGGGTGGCATGTCACCCCTGGAAGGAACTGAATACCCGAAAGGTGTAGGAAGGGGCCCCCTTCCCCCTAACACCATTCTGCCAAAATTGGCCAATCAACCGCAAGATAATGAGCAACCAGGATCCTCACCCAAACACGGGCTCTTCTTCCAGTAGTGCAGATTGCGAATGCAGAGCCGGCGTCCTATTTATGAACAGTGAGTCACGTCTGTTTCCTCCTTTCTCCCAATGAATGAGGCAACCCCCTCCTCTACCGAGTAAATGCTGGCCAGGGGCTGAAGGGACAAGGTATAGCTGCTTCCCAGGCCACTTCGGGTGATAACTCATTGTGAGGAGCAGCACTTGCTGTTAGCCCTGAAGGCAAGATTGCAGTTTTATTCTCTGTTGTACCCTCACATCCCCCAGCCAGCCCCACAACCGAATCTTAGTAAATGTCGAAATTAGTAGCTGGCCAAGGGGGGCAGATCCGAAGACAATGCTGTTTTGGGATCTTTCCACACAATGTATGAATTACCAGGCACCCAAGCAAGTAAGAACAGCCCCACGATGAAGTCATCTGGCTTCGGGAAGGAGAGAGACCCTGTGGTCCCTAACAGAGATTGACCAGAGCTAAGTCTGCTACAGAGATGAGGGAGGCCCTGAACTGTGACAATTGTTGCTTTGCACAGGATGTCTGAAGCTTACACGGTCACTGTAAATCCTTCCTGAGAGTAAACGGGCTTATGAATTATGAATTACCAAGACACAGTGGGGTCTCCCTGCAGTGACCTTCAGCTACAGTTCATTGACATATGGGCCCAGCGCCAAGCGCTGGGAGCTTTGCTGACATGTTTGGTTGAGGGAAACAGAAAAGGTAAATATCAGCTGTGGCGGAAGGTGACATGCGGGCGGGCGGGCAGGCGGAGGAGGGCTCAGGGAGTAGAAGTCCCTGCTGTGAATGAGGTGGTTCCTGCTAATGACTGGTGCTGGTTTCCACACAAGGTTCCAGGCTCACAGGTAGGGGTGGGGGTGAGCTTGTCACTTTCTTGGGGCTTGGATTCTGGGTAGCGTGGAGATGAACAATTGCAGGAGAGAAGCAAGTGCGTGAGGGATTTTTAAGCTCACCTACTCCTGTGTCTGTGGTGGGTTCTTGGTTCTGGGACACCCTCTGATACTAAACTCCGCGAATGGCAAAGGTTCCATGTAAAAGGGTGTAATGCTTACAAATAGCCTAAGCATATCAGCCCACGTGCTTTAACTCATCTCTAAGTCACTTATGACATCCACTGGGTTGTAAATGCTATATAAATAGTTGTTAAATGCTGTTTTTTGTTTTTTTAATAATGACAAGAAGGGAAGGTCTGTACATGTTCTTGCTGGTGCAGTTTTTGTGAAGAAAAAAAAAACTGATTTGATTGCCTAAATCTGTACAGGTGGAGCCTAAAACAAACAAGAACAGATTGGCTCAAGAGAGAAAGGCGCCATGTGAAGCAGAGGGTTTTTAAAATTAGGGAATGGGATCATAAGAGGGGGAAAGGTAAGGGGGAGGCCAGCCTTCAGAGACAGGAGCAGCAGGAGAGAGGAGAGCAGGAGAGAGAGGGGAAGACAGACAGAGGGAACGAGGTGGGGGTGGGTGGGCGGGGCCCTTTTAAAAGGGAACAGTGAATGTGCACGGGCCGTGCTCTCAGTGGCTGCAGCTGGGAGCGAACCCTGTCAGGGCCCCCAGGACAGGCCAGTGCAGATGCCTGCTTACCAGCACTGGGTACAATGTAAAGGAAACAGAAACAGGTAGAAGTGACAGGTGGCAGGCTGGGTGGCAGCCAGGTCCTCACAGGGTTGCACATTGACGGCTCAGGACGTTGGGCCAGAGAACTGGCTAACTGGGCAGCCTTAGGAGCCACACAAGAGACGTCCAGACCATTGGCCTCGAGCAGCAGCTAGAGGCTAGATCAAGGAGAGGAAGCAGCCTGGCTGGAAATCCCTGTGAGGAGCTGTCTGTGGAGCACTAGATCTGAAGGGGTGGAGTTGTGGTGCTCGCCGGGAAGGAGCCTAGCCTGGGCATCCCAGATCCAGTGGTGGGGTCTGTCCCCGAAGGGCTGTGCTGACATTGTGGTACAGAGATACTCACTGATGCATCAGATTGAGTGGCCCAGCATGGCCCCTGCACAGGCTGACTGGGCTGGCAGAAAGAAGCTCCTTAGGGGAGTTTTGTGACTGGGACCCATGCAAAGGCAGCAGGATTGCTGATGCCAGGGTGAGCTACAGGAGAGCCTTGCAGGGCAGCTTGCTGTGGTGGGGAGGTCTGAAGAGCAACCGGGGAAGGGTTCCCAGAGGGCTGGACGCTAACCTCAGAGTGGGTGGGAACTGCCCCACGGGGAAGGAAGGTGGGTGGGCAGGAGAGGAAGTAGGGATAGGCTGTGGTCATTGTCAGGGTTGCTGGGACAGACACTGCTTAATGGCCAGGTGTGGTGTTGAAGGAGAGAGACATGGAGCCTGGCTGGTCCTCCCCCCTTTCTCTCCACCCCGAGGTCTGGAACTTCAGAATCAACAGGACGGGCAGCGTTTGGAACTGATGGGTTGCCAGTTCATGCAAGTCCTGAGGGTTAAAGAGATGCAGACATCGTTCGCCCACTGGGCTAATAGCTCTACACAGGAAGACAACCTAACAAAAAACGTTCATCATGGCAGGTCACTGGTAGGCCTTCCAGAAAGTTCACTGTTTCCCAGTTAGCTAGTGCGGCTCTGGGGTTTCAACCTTCCGTCTGTGGGTCACCTTTGGGTGGCAGATTGAAAATGTATCTTCCGGAATAGGTAGGTTTGACAGCAAGGCTAACGCAAGCCCCTGGAACTGGCATGCCCCTTTCTAGCACTGAAGGGCCATGGGTGTGGGGGGGAGTGGGGGCGGGGGCGGAGTGAGCACCTGCAGAAGAAAACTCAGTACCTGTGGCTCTCCTGATTCTGGAACCTTAGTCTTAAAGGAAAAGAAGAAACTGAGCTACTCAAGTGTTTGAGAATTCCTGAAACTTTTCTAACTACTAATATGTGAGTCGGATATGTGAGATTTGCTTTTAGTAGAATATGTTAATTAAATGTCTACATAAAAAAAACTATCATCATTCATGTAATCTCACTGGAGAGGTTCATACAGTTACAACTGAGTAGAAACCTTTATTAAAGTAAGATTATTTTCTACTTGGGCGAATATGGCCTGGCATTCCCCGTTTACTAGCTGCTCCTTTTTATGAATACTTCTACTTAGAAAGCAAGGCTGTGCTTTGCACCACTGATCCCTGTGCTTTGGGCTGTTGGCACTGGTTAGTTGGTTCCCTAGCCGTCACCAAGCTAATGGGCAGTTTTCAGAATTCCCATTTGGCGTCCACAGGGCAGAGACAGTAGGGAACATGAACTTGCCTTGATTGTCTCAAACATGAATGTGTGTTATTTGATGGATAGAGCTTTGCACGAAGGCTGTGTCTGCAAATCACATAGAATCTACTTGTTTCTACTGAACACACATTTCTTTAAAAAGTGATTATGATCCATGACAGATAATTTTCTTTTAATAACACATATTCTGATCTACATAAAAGGAGCTTAAGCAGGGATCCTAAATTCTTTACGTACATGCCCTGCGCCCAGCAAGGAGAGTCCAACTGTACCTGCACCCTGGAACCTGTTTTTAAAAATTGTGTGTGTGTTGGGTGGGAGAATGTGCTTGTGAAGTCAAGACAACTTTCTGGGAATCTGTTCTTTCCCTGTCCCCTCCTCCTGCCCCCCCTCCTCCTGTCCTTCCTCCTGTCCCTCCTCCTGTCCCCCCTCCTGTCCCCCCTCCTGTCCCCTCCTCCTGCCCCCCCTCCTCCTGTCCCTCCTCCTGTCCCTCCTCCTGTCCCCTCCTCCTGTCCCTCCTCCTGTCCCTCCTCCTGTCCCCCCTCCTGTCCCTCCTCCTCCCCCCCCCCTCCTGTCCTGTTTTTGAAGCAGGGTCTCTCATAGTTCTCAGGCTCTGCAGCTGGCCTGAAAGCTGTGTGCGCCTCCTGTCTGTGTCTCTGCCCCCACCTCACCATGCGAGCCCTGGGTTACATGGGAGCCCTGGGGTTACATGGGAGCCCTGGGGTTAGATGGGAGCCCTGGGGTTACATGGGAGCCCTGGGGTTAGATGGGAGGGGGTTACATGGGGGCCCTGGGTTACATGGGAGCCCTGGGGTTACATGGGAGCCCTGGGGTTACATGGGGGCCCTGGGGTTAGATGGGAGCCCTGGGGTTACATGGGAGCCTGGGGTTACATGGGAGCCCTGGGGTTACATGGGAGTCCTGGGGTTACATGGGGGCCCTGGCCTCAGGTTTCTCACTGGGCTCTGGGACTCACAGTCAGTCTTGCTTGTATCAAGGGATCATCCACTCAGTCACCTTGTCACCCCCACCCCAGCCAATCTCAAGGGAGGTTTGAAAAACCCCCTTGTCCAAACTAACCCCATTCAGAGGCATGGGAGCTGGGGTGGGTAGTCAAATCCAGCAGTGCCTCAGCTACAAGGGGGGTGGTCTTAGCCAGGTATGGTAGCTCGTGCTTGGAGGAAGCGCTGAAGCAGGATGATTGTCTTTTGTTTGAGAGCTGGGCTACACAGGTTGTGGTCCAGCCTGAGCTACAGCGTGAAACCCTGTGGGGAGAAAAGGCGGCTGGGAGAAAGAGGCAATGCATAATTTAAAGAGAACACGGAATGCTGGGTCACTGGGTCCCGTCTAAGCAGATGTCCAGCCTGCCGGTGCCTTGATT